TTTGATACTGGGGATTGAACTCGGGACCTTGCGAGGCAGGCAGCAACACCACTGAGCTACATCCCCAGCCCTAAACCGATTACTTAAAGTTTGATGTCAATGCTGTTGTTGGCTGGATTAACTATGCAGCCCTGTGTGAAGGCCAGGCCCCGACCCCGATGGTCTGGTACTTGCCTCGAGTTCATAACACGAGCCGTATCAGACCAGGACAAGATGGATGTATGAGAACCATGGCTTATGGTGATGTTCTCAACGCTGACTTCTATTTTCATGTCTTCACTTTGGAAATAAAATCCCAGTTTTCCAAAATAGGTGCTTAGTTTTCCATCTTGGGGCTTCTTGGCACCAGTAAGCTGACCGTTGACCACAATTCCTATAAAAGGAGAAATATTTCTCTCTTTTGTACTCTAGCCATTTGCTTTTTGCATGTGTGGCACCAGAATTTGGATTTATAAAACTTGGCAATTGGAGAAAAATTATCTTGTTCTAGAATTTACGTAAATGTTTTCGTTATAAATCTCATTTTACAACTGATACATTTTATTACAGTGCTTATGTTTAAATAGGATTAGCTGGTGCAGACTTAGATTATACATTTTGAACTATAAGACTATAATATAATTATGACTTAATTTCTTACAAATTACCAGAATTTGAAAAATACAGAATTCCTAATAAGGTGAAAAAGAAATAAATCCAGGTAGTGACAGGGAGGTACACGATGACCTCAGTGTATAATTCAGATACAGTTTCCCTTTTATTTTTACCTGATTCTGGATCAGAAACCAGGTTGAGGATTTTTCCGGGTTCTGAGTCAATATTGAAACAGATATTCTTCTGGCTTTTTGGTAGGTAAATGATGAAGTGCGGGTCATTTTCCACTGGAAAATATACAACAGAAATAAAGTAAAATCACCCAAAGGAAGACTTTGGTCAGTGTTTTATCCCTGGACGCCTTTCACTTAACCAGAACAAGTATCTCTAGTGCCTGTGCCGTATTCACACTCAGTAATTATGGTAGAGATACAGGCCCAGTGATCGGGAACTGTTTTAGGGGTTACAGCTCTCTCTGATTCATACTCTGCACCACTGCCCCTTCATGGACCACCTACGAGGGCTTTAAGTCACCTATAAATGTAGTAGGTATTTATTTTGTAGCTGTCACGTACGTCTAAGATAGATAGTATAAAAGTGAATAAGAAAGACACAAGGAATAAGAAACACATTTAAGAAACAGACCCATTAGAGGTGTCATTTTATGTTGTCAAATATAGGAAAGGACACACTTTATCGCTGATGTAGAGACTAACGTTCATCAATCCTAAGAACACTGAAGAAGCCAGCTACTGTTAGGAAAGGGCTTCTTTGTTTCTGGATATGATTACAGAGGATCCTTCTAGTCCTCCTTCCTCCCCTTTTAATTCTTCAACAACTACTCGGTGAGGGGAGCCAGATATGTGCCAAACACTGGGTCAGACGGCGTTCGGTGCAGCTACGAAATATCAAGGTCTGTATCTCAGGCACGCAGTAGTTTAGTGAAGCCGCAGATGCAATGACCGATGTTAGAGGAGCGACGGGAACGCCGTGAGAACGAGGACAGAAGGGGACTTTGTCCTGAGCAGAGCTGTCGGGAGCTAAGTCTGGAAAGTAGGAGGGGCAGAAACGAGAGAGTGGGTGGAGTGGGACGGGCCTGGAGCTGGAGCTCCGATTCGTGTAGAAAGGAACTCGGTGTGGCCCCAGGACAGGTCCTTAAAGAATGGGGAAGAAAAGACAGATGGAAAGTGTAATTCCTGGAGTCCATGAAACACTCGAAAATGAGCCTTCCTTCTGTTGGGAAGGTAGTTGCTGCAGGTGTAGAGGGTAAGGAGACACGATCTCACTCAGTTCAGGACAGCTGCTAGAGTAACTAGAGCACTGCAAAGTGGAGAAGATCATTCAGAGACGAAAGCGGTGACCCATTCGAGCTCCAGGGAACAGTGGAACCAGCGAGGGAAATCCAAGCCATGTTTCTGTAGGGGGAGAGGAGCGGCTCGCTGCCCGGTGTCTGATCCCAGTGACCGAAGGGCTGAAGAGGGTGAGCTGCAGACCGCTGCAGGGTGGTTTCCAGAACAAGCCTGGAAGAGCCGGTCCCTGGTTCTAGGGCTCCCCACAGAGCCCCTTGCGAACTTTACCCAACTCATTTTCACCGCATCCTTGAGGAGAGGACAGCTCCCGTCATGGACCCAGTAAGACGCAGCCCCAAGGCGTCTGACAAGTGCCACTGCCCAGCCATTCCGATCTGTTGCCTTGAACTCACGCATTTTCAAGAGTGCATTTTGATTTTTTTTTGAGACAGGGTCTCACTATGTAGTTGCAACTGATCTGGAACTCACTGTGTAACCCAGGCTGGTCTCGAACTCAGCGATCCTCCTGCCTCAGCCTCCCGAGTGCTAGGATTACAGGTGTGCGCTACCACGCCCGGCTAAGTGCGTGTTTTGAAATGTGAAAACCAGGACAAACTAATTCAGGGCACAAATTATATCTTACTCTCCTCCATGTGTGTGTGTGTCGGGGCACTAGTGACAAAACCCAGGGCCTTCACACTGAGCTACATTCCCAGCCTTTTTTTATTTTTATTTTATTTATTTATTTTTTCAGCTTTAATTGAGTTTATTGGTACATTTTAGGGATACAGTACAGTTACATTCATTGTTGGGATCTTGTACCTCTACATGACAAGTCTTGATTCTCATTTTTTCCCCTTACCTCTGCCCCCCCTTCACCCCCTCCTTTTTTATTTTTTATTTTGAGACAGCCCTGTGTTAAGTCGCTAAATTGCCCAGCCTGGATTAAACTTGTGATCTTCCTGTCTCAGCCTCCTGCTTTCATCCCTCAGACCTCAGGCAAGCTCACGACATGAGTCAACGGTTGGTTAACTGATTTTTGCTAGCGCCATGCACTGGAAGGCTTGATTAGAGCTTGGAACAAGGGCTCATAACTCTTATATTATGATATTCTCTTCACACAAATACAGGTTCTGAGTGTTTTGCTTGAAGAAAATGGCTTCTATTGAAGATAATAATCAGCTTTGCTGTCTTATTTAACCCCACTGGTGAGATCCTCTGACAAGCAATGGTCAAACAGGGCTGCCATATTGGGCTGAAACAGTTCTAGGCGACAGAAATGAAGCCCAGGTCTAAGTGAGTTGGATTTGAGACTCGGCTTCCCCTTCTGCCCATGCTTTTCCCCCCAATGAACAAACTCCCTGTTTGCAAAACTTACAATTTCGGCGATTGGCACACTGTGTCTTGGGCCTGGGTTTCTACTTGACCCGAGAGGCTGACCACTGCTTCAGGAAGCTGCAGGTGTCCACGCCAAGGAGTGCATTTTCCTGGCCTTCAGACAACCGCACCTGCTACCTACGGCTTCCACTGCAGTGGTCAGTAGAAGGTTGTGGACCACCCCGAAAGAGGCCTCAGGGAAGCCCGCTCGCTGGCAGCTTGAGCTCGTCCATCTGCCACCAGAACCGAGGTCAGCGGAGGTCACTGAGGGCTCCTCTCCCCGGCCCCTCAGTTCTCTTACCTCTTATCACATGGGGAGGTGGCGTGGCCTCCAGCGGCGGCCCAGCTACCAGAGACAGCGCGGTCGGCGTCGGGGAGGGGCTGGCCCAAGACGGGATGGAACCCGGGGCAACTTTGCTGCCGTAGTAGAGGGCACCTGTGCGGCAAAATCGCCTCGGTCAGTTCCTAGGGTCACTTTTCCGCAGAGGTTGTTTCGTGCCCCGCTCCGGGTTCGGGGCAAGGTCTTTCCCCTCTCCCTCCTTGCAGCCCTGGAGGGTGAACCCAGGGCTTTGCACACGCTAGGCAAGTGCTCTGCCACTGAGCTAAAGCCCAGTGCCCCTGCTTTTATCCCAGAGCCCTCTCTCCTACACCACCCTCACACTGTGAGGGATTGTGTTCTAATTATGTGATTTTCAATAATTAAAATAGAATTATTATTATTATTATTTATAGGACTGCTGATTGAACTCAAGGCCTTCACACTGAGATATACCCACAGGCTCTTTTTAGTTTTTAGTTTAGTTTTTTTTTTTTTTTTTTT